GAGCGGCTACGTATGCTGTGTTTTTGGGAAATTGCAGATGGTGAGTTTACTACTATTTTATACTACTTCTGTGATATTACTACTACTTCTACTTCCTGTTATCTTCTTCATCATCGTCTTTTTCACCAGTAGAAACAGACGGTTGTTGATCACGTGACTCCTGTGATGTGAAAAAACTGTTTCCATTGKWGTTTTGCGAAAAACACCAATTTTGATACGGCCGAAAAACCACCTCATCCTAGTGCAAAAACATTTTGTCGAAAAACATAATTTTTTTTCCAAATTGACGTGTTTCCATTGAGCAAATTTATTTTAGAAATTCTAATTTGCGTATTTTCATGGTCAATGGAAACACAGCTACTAACACATTGAACACATTTACCAGGGAAATCAGAGTGGCAAAAACATGCTATTCTGAAAAGTCAGCTCTCAGCCAACGACCATGGTTCAGTGTGGAGAGGTCCTCAGCACATCACAAACAACAGAAGACCATCCCCCGCTGCCGAGGCTAACAACGCCCTGGCTGACGACCTGAACAGCTTCTATTGTAGGTTCAAGAAGAACTCATTCACACCTTTCCACAGCTCATCAACAAAACAGTGAGGACCCTCTATCTCACCCTCCCCCCACCACTCAAGCTTCATTCCAGATATGCGAAGATGATGTGAGCCGATTGTTCCGGAAACAAAAGATCAAGAAAGTTCCAGGACCAGAAGGTGTCTCACCTTCCTGCCTTAAGACTTGTGCTGAACAACCGGCTCCAATCTTCACAAACATATTCAACAGATCACTGGAGCTGTGTCAAGTTCCTTCCTGCTTCAAACGCTCCACCATCATTCCAGTCCAAGAAACCCTCCATCACAGGTCTGAATGACTACAGGCCCGTCGCCTTAACGTCTGGGGTCATGAAGTCCTTCGAACGGCTGGTCCTGACCCACCTGAAGGACATCACTGGTCATCTGCTAGACCCCCTGCAGTTTGCCTACCGGGCAAATAGGTCAGTGGATGATGCAGTTAACATGGGACTGCATTTCATCCTGCAACATCTTGATCACCTGGGGACTTATGCAAGAATCCTGTTTCTTGATTGCAGTTTGGCGTTTAACACTATCGTCCCTGACACTCTTTCCACCAAACTCTCCCAACTCACTGTTTCTCCTGCCATGTGTCAGTGGATCACCATCTTCTCCTGCCACGTGTCACTGGATCACCAGCTTCTCCTGCCATGTGTCACTGGATCACCAGCTTCTCCTGCCATGTGTCACTGGATCACCAGCTTCTCCTGCCATGTGTCACTGGATCACCAGCTTCTCCTGCCGTGTGTCACTGGATCACCAGCTTCTCCTGTCATGTGTCAGTGGATCACCAGCTTCTCCTGCCATGTGTCACTGGATCAGCAGCTTCTCCTGCCATGTGTCAGTGGATCAGCAGCTTCTCCTGCCATGTGTCAGTGGATCACCATCTTCTCCTGCCATGTGTCAGTGGATCACCATCTTCTCCTGCCATGTGTCAGTGGATCACCATCTTCTCCTGCCATGTATCAGTGGATCACCAGCTTCTCCTGCCATGTGTCAGTGGATCACCAGCTTCTCCTGCTGTGTGTCAGTGGATCACCAGCTTCTCCTGCCGTGTGTCAGTGGATCACCAGCTTCTCCTGCCGTGTGTCAGTGGATCACCAGCTTCTCCTGCCGTGTGTCAGTGGATCACCAGCTTCTGCTGCCG